GTTTTAACTTGCTTTCAAGAGAAACAGAAGCCAGTATCTGATATCACTTCAGATGATTGTTTCAAGATCTGAGTTCAAATGGAAATAAAAGCAAGATCAAGATGAAACAGGGATTATTGCTGTTAAAGTAGTTTGGCCATGATACAACAAGCACATAAATCATTAGCCAAATCAAATACTGGTTGGTTTGTCAAGATGTTTGTTGTCTGTCGTCTGTCGAGCTGCTATGAACACTGAACGCTCTCACTAGAGAGTAGTTTAAGTTGAATGGTAGTGAGCTGTAATTAGACAAAGCAGCTATTCAGTGCTCACATCAAGCCAGGCTAGGAAATGGCATCAACTGTGGTGGGAGGAAGCAGGTTCGGCAGCCCTATGTTGTAAACTTCTGTTATGTCTTGTGTTTGATCAACTGATGTTTTCTGCTCTGTTTTGTGCAGTGATAGTAGCAGGTAACTGCATGCTTGTCAAATTATGTGAATAAACGAATTCATAACATTGCATTTTTCTCTCCATGCAAGGAACAAGTAAGATGTTGTAGAAAATGTAATAGAGGGCTGCATTGCTGATTTTGCACTTTATCAGAGCTTTATTTAGAATTGCTTTCCTGAAAGCTACACACAGGCCACAGTGCTGAAATTCACAATGTCATAGCTTTTGGCAGAAAAAAGAAAAGACTTACCTAGGTAAAATTGGCTGAAAGTATGGCAGAGCAGGTCTCGATGCGTATGCCCATCCGTGTGCTTGCCGAAGCCGAACTGACTGCAACACATTTAACTCTGACCCACCATGGTGGCTGGCATATCCTGAACTTTCACCACTCTAAACAAGACAACTTTCAGCCCTCAGCATTGTATTAAAACACTGTACAAAACACTCAAAATTTGTTTCAGTGCCATCCACGGACAACATCAGTCGCCATTCACCAGGCCAGTAAAAACAGAATAGATAATAGCTTCAAACCCATGTAGTCAGAGTTACTAGGTCTGCACCTCAAAACAAAATCCAGGTGACATTCACCACGCCAGTAAAAAACAGGTACTTAGGTAACGTAACAGCTTCAAATCTGGTAACATGTTGGTCGGACTTTACACTACCATATTTACATGGAATAATATGATACCAAACAATAGTGCAACCATTCTGGACAACAAAAGTGTATGATAAAATTAATTTAGAATACTCTGGCAGCATGATTTACGAGCACAGGCAGGTGTTACCTACCAGCCTTCTCAATGCTCGTAAAACCAACATTGTAGTTTTGATTTTACCTTACATGATAACACACTTGGCTGCAATGGCACATTCAATTTAATACTGTGAAAAGACCAGTTATAACCACTTCACAAGCACAATTGCACCTCATGCCGACATCCTTTTCCAAAGACAGTCAGCAGCGTCTTTCGTCTAAACTGGAAGATAAATCCCCTTTCAACTGTTAACATCAAAAATATTTCTTCATGGTGTGACTGTGATCTCCATATGGAAACCTTGCAGGGAAAGAATTAATGTCAATTGTCAGCTCTTCAAATTTCTTTGGACTTTAACTTGCAGTACCATATCCAGTTTGCTTTGATATTTTGTTTTTTATTCCATGTTGAAGTTGAACACCAAGCTCCAGATATAGCAGGCAGCTTGATCATCTTCGGCCTTGGTATAATATCAGTCCAAGTTCCAGTGGTGGGTATCTTCTAATATTCAAATTAAAATGAAAAGCAATAGGCTTTCTCAGCGCCGACGACGGATTTCACGTTGATAAAAAAGGGAGCTCAAGGTCAGCAAAACTCGGGTTCAAGGAATGGCGGGCGTTGAAATGACTGCTGACGTCATCAAAAAACCGCTAATGGTTAAGAGATAGGGACTAAGCTGGTCCCACCCTGCAAGTAAAGGGAAGAAATTTCTTGAACACCATAAAGCTGCGGGGGTTGCGACCAGGATAAATGGTGGTTTCTGAGCCTGGCCGCAAACTTGGCTATCTCAACTCAAAACTAATGTTAAAGGGACCATCCCACCTTAACATTAGTTTTGAGTTGAGATAGCCAAGTTTGCGGCCAGGCTCAGAAACCACCATTTATCCTGGTCGCAACCCCCGCAGCTTTATGGTGTTCAAGAAATTTCTTCCCTTTACTTGCAGGGTGGGACCAGCTTAGTCCCTATCTCTTAACCATTAGCGGTTTTTTGATGACGTCAGCAGTCATTTCAACGCCCGCCATTCCTTGAACCCGAGTTTTGCTGACCTTGAGCTCCCTTGTTTATCAACGTGAAATCCGTCGTCGGCGCTGAGAAAGCATGTTGCTTTTCATTTTAATTTGAATATTAGAAGATACCCACCACTGGAACTTGGACTGATATTATACCAAGGCCGAAGATGATCAAGCTGCCTGCTATATCTGGAGCTTGGTGTTCAACTTCAACATGGAATAAAAAACAAAATATCAAAGCAAACTGGATATGGTACTGCAAGTTAAAGTCCAAAGAAATTTGAAGAGCTGACAATTGACATTAATTCTTTTCCTGCAAGGTTTCCATATGGAGATCAAAGTCACACCATGAAGAAATATTTTTGATGTTAACAGTTGAAAGGGGATTTATCTTCCAGTTTTGACGAAAGACGCTGCTGACTGTCTTTGGAAAAGGATGTCGGCATGAGGTGCAATTGTGCTTGTGAAGTGGTTATAACTGGTCTTTTCACAGTATTAAATTAAATGTGCCATTGCAGCCAAGTGTGTTATCATGTAAGGTAAAATCAAAACTACAATGTTGGTTTTACGAGCATTGAGAAGGCTGGTAGGTAACACCTGCCTGTGCTCGTAAATCATGCTGCCAGAGTATTCTAAATTAATTTTATCATACACTTTTGTTGTCCAGAATGGTTGCACTATTGTTTGGTATCATATTATTCCATGTAAATATGGTAGTGTAAAGTCCGACCAACATGTTACCAGATTTGAAGCTGTTACGTTACCTAAGTACCTGTTTTTTACTGGCGTGGTGAATGTCACCTGGATTTTGTTTTGAGGTGCAGACCTAGTAACTCTGACTACATGGGTTTGAAGCTATTATCTATTCTGTTTTTACTGGCCTGGTGAATGGCGACTGATGTTGTCCGTGGATGGCACTGAAACAAATTTTGAGTGTTTTGTACAGTGTTTTAATACAATGCTGAGGGCTGAAAGTTGTCTTGTTTAGAGTGGTGAAAGTTCTGGATATGCCAGCCACCATGGTGGGTCAGAGTTAAATGTGTTGCAGTCAGTTCGGCTTCGGCAAGCACACGGATGGGCATACGCATCAAGACCTGCTCTGCCATACTTTCAGCCAATTTAACCTCGGTAAGTCTTTTCTTTTTTCTGCCAAAAGCTATGACATTGTGAATTTCAGCACTGTGGCCTGTGTGTAGCTTTCAGGAAAGCAATTCTAAATAAAGCTCTGATAAAGTGCAAAATCAGCAATGCAGCCCTCTATTACATTTTCTACAACATCTTACTTGTTCCTTGCATGGAGAGAAAAATGCAATGTTATGAATTCGTTTATTCACATAATTTGACAAGCATGCAGTTACCTGCTACTATCACTGCACAAAACAGAGCAGAAAACATCAGTTGATCAAACACAAGACATAACAGAAGTTTACAACATAGGGCTGCCGAACCTGCTTCCTCCCACCACAGTTGATGCCATTTCCTAGCCTGGCTTGATGTGAGCACTGAATAGCTGCTTTGTCTAATTACAGCTCACTACCATTCAACTTAAACTACTCTCTTTAAAGTAAGAGTGAGGGCAGCTCACTCTTTCAGTGTTCATAGCAGCTCGACAGACGACAGACAACAAACATCTTGACAAACCAACCAGTATTTGATTTGGCTAATGATTTATGTGCTTGTTGTATCATGGCCAAAATACTTTAACAGCAATAATCCCTGTTTCATCTTGATCTTGCTTTTATTTCCATTTGAACTCAGATCTTGAAACAATCATCTGAAGTGATATCAGATACTGGCTTCTGTTTCTCTTGAAAGCAAGTTAAAACAACAATGATAAACTAAGGCAGGAGATGTGAGTTGTGACAGTAGATTTTTGATTCAACATATGTCAACCTTATATTGCTTGAGACCTCTGTGACAGACAAATATTTATAGTTTTTTGATAGTTTGGATTCTTGGCTTGATTTAGCAGATCAGCTGTGAACCTTGACTTTGAAATCACATAAATGTCATGGTACCCGAACGAATCCTCGCATGACATTTCTTCGTAGCACAATTTTTCGTCCGCATTTCTTCGTCTACAAATCTTCGTCGGTGCATTTATTTGTCCCTCAATGCTTACTCTTGCATATATTTGCGTTGAAGAAGAAATGCGAGCCGATTTTCATATACCCTGGTGCGAGACAAAGTAATGCGATAGGTACGAATAAATGCCCTGACGAAGATTTGCAGACGAAGAATTGCGATACGAAGAAATGCCATAAGAATTGTCCTGGAATCCTTTATTGGCCATCATATATTGACCTTGATAAGATAAACGCATCATTCGCGCAATATTTGTCGCACTTTGATACCAAACTATTGCTTCCAAATGCCGACGTAAAGAAAACCTTTATGTGACGTCATAGAAACAGCGGATTTCCCAAAAAGTAAACAAAAATAAAAGTCTTATATCTCGAAAACGGGTGAATATTTTCCGGTAAAATTTGGTAGATGTTCATTTTCGCTCTTTGTGATTCACGCTACATCACTTTTATGCCAATTCATTAACTTTTTTGAAGGTGGGAGGGTCCCTTTAAGGTGGGATGGTCCCTTTAAATGAGTATAACCGATATAATCAATACAGTTCCTGATTCAATCAAGAAAACTTTCAACAAGATACAAAAACTTAACAGAAAACTATCTAAAGCCAAAACTGCGGTGCTGTTTAACGACATATGCCTCAAAGAAAATATCCTGCCCAAATACTCTGATGTGAAACTGCATGATCATAGGGCAAAGAAACAGCCATTTACTGAGACATTTCGACGCAACTTAGTCGAGCATCAATTGAATCAGAAACAAACACAAGTAAGTGAGCTTCAACAAAAAGTAGACACCCTTAACAAGAAACTTAGTGAAAGCGACATCGACTCTAGCATCAAAAACAGACTTTTCTTGTACTTAGATGAGAAAGCTGAGAATTCCCAACACCAAGACAACGTAAGAGTGACCAAGAAACTTACGAGACTTTACGGTGGCAGTTTTAAGTTGCCAGAAGTAGAAAAACAACAAGGCTACATCAATCTCTCATCAGTAGAACTAACCGAAGCACAGCATAAGTTACTTAATCTCGGACTCAACTGCCATTTTCAAACCAAAAGAAACATTGTCCACAAGCAAACTGAGTTAGAACTACTTTACCAAAGTATATTGAAACTAGAAGCTGGCGATCATATTTGTGTTCATCCTGACTTGAAAGGCCAACTAGCTGGTGAAGGTAGCAAGCTAAGAGGAAGTGACTACAGCAAACTTTTGACGCAAGATCTTCGAGAGGCGGCAAAACAATTGAAAGAAGACCCCCGTATCATTGTCAGACGAGCCGATAAGGCATCTCTTTTTGTTATCCTAGACAAAGAAAGCTATATTAACAAATTGAACAACATACTATCTGATCAATCCAAGTTCAAACAAATCAAGGAGGACCCAACCAAGAAACTAAAAGCAAAGGTCAACAGAATCATTAAAAGTGCCAACGCTCTTATCAACGGAGTACATTTTGAGTCAATATCTGGTGAGTACACCCCAGGGTACGCCTACGGAACAGTTAAAACACATAAACCAGACAACCCATTAAGGCCTATTATTTCTCAAGTCTGCACATCTACTTATAGGCTAGCAAAAAGACTTAACCAATTATTAAAACCCTATCTTCCTTCCAAATACAGTGTTCAATCCACCGACGAGTTTCTAGATATACTACGCGTTAAAAAGCCACAAGGTGAAATAGCGTCTATTGATGTAGACAACCTTTTTACTAACGTACCTGTAGATACAACAATCCAGTTAATTATAGACGAGGTTTACACCAAGAGAAGTAACGGCCTAGACAAACTTGCACTTGCCCCTGAAATTCTTAGAAGCCTTCTAGAAGCGTGTACTAAGGACTCCCCATTTCGTGGCCCCGATGGAAAGCTCTACACCCAAAAAGATGGCGTGGCGATGGGTTCACCTCTCGGTCCTCTATTCGCCAACTTTTACATGGCTTTTGTCGAGGAGAGTACTTTCAGTGACCCGGACATCAAACCAACGACATACTGTCGATACGTAGATGATGTTTTCTTAGAGGTGAGGGACCCACAGCATTTAGCTGATATCATTCGAGCACTTGAAAACAACTCTGTTTTGAAATTTACTTTTGAAACACACCAAGATGGAAGCTTGAATTTTCTTGATGTTACTATTCAGACCACCCCAGACAGATACCTCACTGGCGTCTACGCCAAACCCACCAACAAAGGAAAAACACTCAATGCCAAAAGCGAATGCCCCTCTCAGTACAAGAAAAGCGTGCTCCGAGCATTCATAACACGGGCAGTAAAAACCAGTTCCACTTATGACTTGATGAACACAGAATTTGACAGGGTCAAACAACTTCTGGTGAACAATGGATTTACAAACACCGAGGTAGACGAAGAAATCCACAAACAACTTGAAAAACGACACAAGCCACCACAACCTGCGCAACAACAACAACCTACCAAGGTCCATCACCTGTATTACAGGAACTACATGAACACACAACACAAAACTGATGAGAAGATCCTCAGAGACATGTTGAAGAAGAACATCACCTGCACAGACGACAATAGTCAGGTTCAACTTTACATCTTTTACCGAAACAAGAAAACATCCCAACTAGTGATGAAAAACAGTCCCGCTTCGACAAAGACATCGAACCGCACCAACGTAATTTACAAATTTACGTGTCCACACAAGGATTGTAGGCCTTGTAACAACCATTACATTGGTGCGACTACGACAACTTTGTCGAGACGTTTGACTATGCACATCCAGGATGACACAGGACCAGTCGAACATTGGGTAGTCACACACAAACAAAAACCCACTCACAAACTACTCAAAGACAGCACCGACATCATCGACGCCAACAGCGACCACTATCGCTTATTCATCCAAGAGGCCATATACATCAGCAGACATAAGCCACCACTTAACATACAGAGATACACCAACATCTCACTGGCGCTCTGGGGTGTATGATCCTGATGGGAAAAGTGATGGGGAACGGTCCTTATCGGCCCTGTTCATGTGCTCCAACCGAATAGCTGGAGACTGTGCGTTATGAAAAATGCTTGTCTGTGTTATGTGTATGACGTATGTGTCATTAGGTATGCATTAAGACTCAAGGGAGTTGGAAATGATGAAAAAGTGGAAAGTTAAAGTGATTCAGTGACCCAGTATAGTGAAGTGTAAGTGTATATGTATCTTCGTCACCTGCAATATTTGTAACATGGCTATTTTCAATATTTTGCAAATCAAAATAGCTACACTGACGACCATGTTTAGCGGTACTTTTTAGTACATTCCTTGAAAATGATTGTCTCAAATACAATCGAAACGCGTCGGAAAACATGACTTAAATGAGTATAACCGATATAATCAATACAGTTCCTGATTCAATCAAGAAAACTTTCAACAAGATACAAAAACTTAACAGAAAACTATCTAAAGCCAAAACTGCGGTGCTGTTTAACGACATATGCCTCAAAGAAAATATCCTGCCCAAATACTCTGTATATATATATATATATATATATATATATATATATATATATATATATATATATATATATATATATATATATATATATATATATATATATATATATATATATATATATATCAGTCTATTCTTATTGCAAACCGCTTTATCTCATAGTACAGCATACCGACCTGCAGACGACAGGACACAGCCAGGGCAGGAGTGTCCTCTCCGGGTCCCTGTAGTACACCCTCATCACCCAGCCGGGGTAGTAGCGCGGTAGGAGGGCAGCGTTGGCTGCGATCCCTCGGAAGTAAGCCGTATCCACTCCTCCGAACCAGCTGAAGGAAACCACCCGCTGGCGAGGACCGCGGAGAGCGGCGAAACCGGCGCAGGAGGAGGTAACACGACGCGCGCGGGGAGGGAGACGTCTTCGGCACTGGCAGCCGGGCAGCGGGTTGACGAGTTCTCGTTCTTTGTAAGGTTGATGCGGGACTGGAATTGGTTCCCGAGACGGCTGAGTGATATTTGCGTCGAAGACTGCTCTTTTCAAAGAATGCGACTCTGTTTCAAGAGAGTGATCTTCTGCAGAAGTTCGTTTGCTCATATTGGGAGCAAGCAGCACAGCTCTTGATGAAACATCGCCCGACTCAGCCGCCGTCTTTGAAATCCCCGTCGAAGACCACTGCTCCGACACCACCACCCTGTCCTTTTGTATCGAAGCACCGATCTCCCTGCTTTCCCTCGTCAGGACTGTGACATCTTCATCACAGCGCATTACCATCAACACAAGCAGTGCAGCGCCTGTAACCATGACTGCAACGAACAGAGCCGCACGGAGCCGTCTGCGGCGCATGCTGTCAGTTGTCACACGCTGTCAACTGCACAGTGTCGACAGTCTCAATGCCTCGCCGGCTCACAACTTGTTTTTGTTTCGCGCCGTACGAATTTCCGCTGACTGCAGAGACTTGGCACTCTCCAGCAGTAGAGAACAATTCCCACTACCTCACCGCCAGCCTCCGCTCAGTTCGTACAATCACTGCCGGCTGCACAGACTCAACTGACACTCCCAGCAGATGAGGGTGATCTTCAGCCGGCGGCCCTCCTCCCGCGCCCACCCCCGCACCTGGCTGGCTGCAGGTCCGGCTCCGCGCGGGGACGGGAGCGGACCGCTGCGCTGGTCAAGGCCCGCCGTCCATCTGCCACTCGTGATGCACGGCACTGATAAACCGCCGTGGATGCTGCAGCAGCAATCAACCGGCGGGGATATACATAATGCAACACGAGAAAGGCGCACGAATAGGCCACCCCATGGATGCGACGACAGGGAGGAGATTTTAGTGCTAATAAAATGGCAACTGAACGGTCGTTCGTTCTCTCATTCCCGGTATAAGCGTAGTCTTCGTTGCTTTAGAATGTAAAATAAAATATACGCTTTAGTAAATAATCCGTAAAAACTAGCCTTACCAATCAGCAATGGGTATTTAATCCGTTAAAGTGTTTCCAATTGCATTCGAGCTTAAAACTTGGGCAGTGGGCAGTGAACAAATATATATGCAGGTACGAGAAAGATGGAAACCAAGTCCATCAGGGATATAGAGATAAATTTAAAGTAAGCACAGTTTGATTCGTTTGTATCCTTTATTGACCATCAAACACAATGTTATGATTAATACGAATTCCAATTATCTGCATGACGCTCGGGCCGTAATACCAAATCGTTACCGGTTTTACAAATGGCTGAAGTGACACTTTATCCATAAAGCTAGAAGATATGATCAACTCGCAGACTGAGTGCACCTATAACGACCGCAATGGTTGATAACAGTTATCTCTAAATCAGATACAAGGACAGAAACGTCTCACAGACGTCAACGGTATAATTTGAGGTCGGGTTTTGCAAGAAGCTGTTTCGCGCTCGAAATCTCAAATAGCTCGCTGAGTTATGAATAAGCTGCAAATGCACATTTTCACATTTTCATACTAATATTTTTTTCACATCAAGTGCTTAAAAGCACAATTTCTGCAAAGTAGTGAGCTTTTTCACGCCATACCCAGGGGTCGCAATTTGAAGTTGATGCCTATACGGTGACAACTTATTTAGTTTCCAAAACACCGTGCGACTTGCAGCATTGTGCATCCGGTGAAACCAACCACGAACCAAATCACCTCGTTTAGCACCAGTTCCCAGCCTTCATCAGTCTGCCGTGACAGTAAGCACGCCGTGGACTCTCACAGCTAACTCGGAAACGACTGGCTCACTTCCGCTCTGCACCGCAACCCGCCGGAGGGGTGCAGTACCCCCACCCCCTCCGCCCCGCCCCCAACGCCAGTGCTACCCGGTACCCCCACCGTCCGTCAAACGCTCGTGAGTCCCCGTGAGTCCACACTCCGGGCCAGTCCAGTTAATTGCAGCTGCTGGACGGCTGGACGGCGTCCGCCAGCGACCAGACGGGCCCCGCACGAGTCAACTGAGAATCGATCGCGAGCGGGGCCGTCGAGGGTCGGCCTCGTGCGGCCAGGTGAGCCCTCGTCGAATGCAGCGGCGGCGGCGGCGGCAGCGGGGGCGGCAGCGGGGGCGGGGGCGGGGGCGGCAGGGCCGGTCAGTCGGACCCCGCCTGTGGCGCCGGGCGGCCGGTGACTGTGCTGTCCGCCCGCGGCGGTGCCTAGTTCACTAGTTGCCGAACTATTTGTGAGAGCTGTGGGCCTCTTGTGCAAACGGTTGATGGAAACTGGAACGAAAGGTGCTGGGCCGGTGGATGGCCACTTTGGCACGGTAGTCAAGATTGGCGTGCTGAGACTGCGGCGCTGTGACGGCGGAGCGAGTGAAGACGCAGTGAGTGTGACACGGTGAAGCGACGTGCTGAACCGGTGTCAGACGGAGACTGAACGGACAAACCCTTGATCCGGGTAAGTGTCGAAGTGTCATGGGTGTCGTTTCACGACGTGTTAATGTGCAGGATGTGACAGGAGATAAGAAGTAACATCTTGACAGACAGTAACGGCGGAACACCTTCAATTAAGGGGGGGAGGCACTGCTGACTTTTGGTCCCATTCTTTCCATGCGACGCCCATAGGGCTAATGTTACAATGCCAAAATCAAAGGGGGACACGGTGCCCCGGTGCCCTCCCCGTTCCGCCGCCTATGTTGACAGACATGGTTACGTTTTGACATTGTTACGTGACCTTGTGATAGACGTGACGGTGTGGTTTTTCGCCACAGCAGCGAGACGTGGCCCGTAAAGAAGCTTGTCTCGGCCAGTTCCTCGCCGCGTGATTCGAGCACCATAATAAAGTTACCACGAGCAGCGGCTTTATCTGATCGTCGTTTGAGAGTGTCGTTTGACAGGCTAATGCAAGTGTTGTGTGACTGTAGTTGTCGATCACTCTTGATAGGACTCGTTGTGTGACATGTGAAGGCAGAGAGCTGTTAAACGCGAATAAGTTTAACAGTTTTACATATGTGAGGTACCTACGTATTGGACAAGGGAGTTTCATAATTATTAGCATAGGCTCCATTATATAAGGACGGGAAGGCAACTCTTACTGTGGTTCCAATTTCACTCATATGAACGTTGCATGTACGTTGCCGCCTATGAATGCATGAATATATGTATGAATTAATTAAAACGATCGTTGCCTTCCCCAGCTGTTTATAAGTAGCGGAATCCCTGTATCAAAACTCAGTACCTTATTACATGCCTACAAATTCCTATATGATGCTTATATGATCATCTAAATATTGTACAAAATCAAATACTCAATTCAGAGGGCTTTGGGGTTATTTGATAAGTGCGTGAAGTGGTAATGAGTGACAACTTGTAAGTTGTATAGCATCCACCTTCCCGCAATGGACGGCTAAGCTTCTGGAAAGTGATGGCTAATTGTTGAAACATCCCGATGTCCACATTGTTAGACGCTCCCACCAAATGGCAATTAACCCTATTAGTGGCAGGGGGGTTGTTTTCATCCACCCCTCAGGTTTTTCGGGAATATCTCCGAAACCGCTGAAGCTACGATGCTGAAATTTTCTGACTTTTCCTAAAACTAAATTGGGCACATTCCCTGAAAATTTCAAATTAATAACTTTACCAGGGGCGGCTCCAGGGAATTGGGGGGTCCTATTCGTGAAGCGAGTCATTTGGGCGAAGATCACGATGCTGATGTATTATAACTGTAGGTATGCACCAGTTTTACGAACAGTGAATGAAAGGTATCATGTGATAACATATACAAAGTTATTGTGCATCCTCTTTTGACACGTTTTTGCTATAATAGGCGGATCCAGGCGTCCAAAAAGGGGGGGGTTCATACTGAACTGTACAGTATCATTTGATGAGCGGTTTCGTAGTAGTTAGGTACATTGCCAGAATGCGATCAAATGCACCATACCATGTATTTGTGAACACTTACAAGCGATGTTTTCCCCTAAAATCATAGGCGAGTCCAGGTGCTGAATATTGGGGAATAATTAGTGATTACATCTGTATCCGGCTATGATTTTTGAAAATGCATATTTTTAGGATCCATGTGAATTCCTGGTTCATTCTCTATCGATCGGCAAAAGTTGCGTTAAGATTGGTTCAGAAACCTGGCCGTGATAAACAGTCTAAAATGTATCTGCAATTTTCCCGTTTTTACCCCCCTCTACCCCCCCCCTATTGACATTTTTTAATTTTTATTTTTTTAGAAATGTAGATCACGTTGAGCGAAATCGAATGCCGTTTGAATTTTGAAAATCGGCCCGTTAGATCTCGAGATATCAGGGGGGGGGTCGTAAACAGCCCCCCCTGCCACTAATAGCGGTAGCCAGGAGCCTGCCACTAATAGGGTTAAGTCAGCATAAGCTACTTGAAGTTTCATGACTCATAAGTTTCAAATTTCGAATGGAGTAGGTATGGACCTTTATGTCCGCATCACTACCAACTGCTTGTACGGCTAATGTATGGATGATGCAGTCATATTCAGTCCCGAGTCAAACGGACATCCGCAAGTATAACTCTGAAGCCATGCTGTCTGCTAAGTACCAGAGGACCGAGACATTTTTGGAAGAACATCGTCATTGAGATGACGATGTTCATAGATCCGGTCTCGGTGCTTCATGAAATAAGGACTATGCTACCCAAAAGAGGCCTCTGTGGCCTCTTACGGCCTTTCAGGTATGTTCAGGTAGCTTGAGAAGCTAATCGTTCACTGACTGACTAATAAATGTTAAACAAAAAACTTGTCCTCGTCCCTACAAGGCGTGTGCCGTCGGACGTGCTTCCTGACTCCAAGACACTGAATAAAACAATCTGAGTCAGACAGAGCATAACTCTAAACCACATCGTACTCACAATAAACGGCTTCTGTGCAGACAGTCTTACTTAGCTCAAGAAGAGCGTAACGCAATCGTAGCAGCCTTTGTGCTCTCAAGGCCACCGTCTACTGTTCCTCGTTCCGCTGTGTGACTTGATGGGACACCGGAGGCAGCACGCGGTCACTCATCCGATTGACACGGCCACGGTCAGCGCGAGGGCGACTGTGGGGCTTCGCGCGGCCGTGGTGCCGCGAGAGTGAAGCCACATCCGACACCCTCGGGCGATATAACTGCTGATTGGGTCGGGCTTTGATGGGTTTTGGAGCTGGGACGTTATGAGTTAGAGTTGGCAGGAAAGTTCAGGCGAACCACATCAATCAATTGGTTAAGTCAGTTTAGTCGGCAATGCGTTATCCGATGAATCGAATCAGTGGCAAAGCTCATATATTATCAACAGAGTTGAAATGCTAGCTAAATTCATCATTTCAAATTGCGATAAAATCTAAATCAAGCACGCACTATAGATAAGCTGTAAAATTGCGTGTTCCTGTTGAATACTATAGGTACACAGCAGGTGCAAAGATGTTCCGATGCAATGACCCGCTCCCGCCCTGTGTTCGTATCAAGTCGTTAAGCTTGTGCACGGATGACTGATAGTGCGTACTGCGTGCATCTTTACAAAATCATAAATATTCTAAAGGACCAGGTAATAGCCGTTTTCACGACGGTCATCTGGTACACATTTGGTGCACATCTGGTACAGATTAGGTGCAGATTTGGTCAAATCAGGTTCAGTGTGTCTCTTAGTAGCTATCAGTTAGGGTTGCACTAATGGCTTATTATATGCCTGCTTTGTCATATTATCAGAGAGTATCATCGATTAAAACACTGAAATAAATTCATAAAATGAAGATATTTGCTGTAAAAGAAATAAGGTGCAGATTTGGTCAAATCAGGTGCATTCGCCGGATACCCCGTCGTGAAAACGGCTAATACCTACGCATGTCAAGAAGGTATGTTGCTTGCTGCCTTATCGGTCGATCTACAAAAATTGATTCTATACATAGACGGAACGTTTTATGAAATGACTACCTGGCAGCTGAAGCATTTCTGAATCCCAACTGCCTGATACGCATGCCAAATGACGAAATAAATAACTAACCCACCCAGGGTGGGCGTTCTAACCACCCTTACCGTCGCCCATTAAAGTTTAATTTCAATTAGCCCTATAACACCGTCCCTACATGCATTGTGCGTGTGCGTGCGAAGGACAGGGCGATGACAGGAAACAAAAACAGAAACATTAATCTGGGAAGTTAATGAGGTTTTATGGCAATAAGACTATGTGTGGTTTTAAACAAGGAAAATTTGCAAAGCCACACCACGCCGTAAATTTGCCTACGCGATGAATAATGATTTGACGGCGAAGGAATATGTAGTTCCTAAAATTTTCACGTTCTCGCGACGAATGGGAGCAATGCTCCCTAGAGACATACCTACAGTATTATTAAACATGCGTGTGCGTTGACAGAAGCACTGATTTCTCGGTAATATCACTGCAGTTACGCATAACAAAGTACAAGCTAGTTCGTCAAATTACCACGAATGAACGCCGTGCAGACGTAACATATCCCACTCAAACTCCCTCATAACTCTTTACTCGCCTGACAAAGTGGAAACCCGTACTTATCACAATGAGCATAAACTCCGCCGGCTGGCGTGTGTGCTCACCATGACTGTAGAATGTTGGCGGAACGGCGGCCCTTTCGAGCGGCCGGTGCGGCCCCACGGCAGACGGGCGGGTGGACCCTGTTCAGGTCGATAGTTCACGCTGTCTGATGGCGTGTTTGGCCGCTGTGAAACGGATCCGACACCCGGTCCGGTTCGACAACAAGGGACGGTGACCGCCTACCGGTCACAATAGGGTAGGGTATAACATCAGATGGCAGGAGGCATGGCAAAACCCAGCGGAAAGGGCGTTAGGGAAAGGGAAAGTAACTCAAAAGGACTGAAAGAGCGATTTTGATTATTTTTATGTTTGTGGATACCTTCGCAAGAGCTTGTGATAGATAACTACCTAATTTAAAATAGTCCTACCAGAAAGACGCGAGAGATGAAATGACAGCGCCTGACTATAGTTGGAACACGCAATGACTATTGTCTGACTATAGCGGCTCGTTACTCATAAGAAACTCGTCATGGGAACGATGGTACACTATCCATTTACAGCATGCTCGTGTAGCAAATGTAAAAGTTAAATAAACAATTTCTTCTTCTGTGATAGTCTGTTTCAGGACCTCTTGTTCGAGCCGTATAACCAACACGGTTTTTCTTTTCTTCAAGTATGTATTGTAAATTTGACGATTAGAATCCAAAAGTGATAAACAATCGGCCGAGACTTTGAATAACGGTACGTCAGGCCACTACGGCGGTCGGCTTTCGAATTTTCCTTTCACACATCCTGCTCGGCGCTCGGCGTCGGCTGCTATATCAAAACGTCATACACACACGTCATACATACAGATGTACGTCATATCATAGCACCGATCAGAAGTGGGCCAGGACAGGCGTCACAGGTGAGGAGCGAGGACCATATAAGGATATTGTTAGT